CGGCTTCCAGTTGTGCAATGACGCAATACTGCAGCAAGTACCTGTACGAAATGCTAGGAAAAGTAAGCCAATAGTGCTGCGAAACAACAACCTACCGGCCACATTATTAAAAAAGAAAAATGGTCCCAACATTTTTAATTAGTTAACCCAGCCCATAACACGAACTTCACCCCATGTTGCTTACGTGAAGCGTCGTATCGGCGTGTTACGAGTTGCCCAAAAACGCTGCTTCTCTGCTGCATGCAAACTGAAAACCGCCTCATCGGTGAAAAGAATGGAAAATGTCCATGGTACTCACAAACCAGCGGCAAAAATCATGCTGCATCTCCGAATCCCATGGGTTCAAAGCTTGCACTTAAATGGCGTAATACTTAAGGGATTTCCTTTCCTTTAAAATCCTGTGCATAGCATATCGGGTTGTGTCGTAATGTTGGGCAAGTCTAGGAATGCTCCGGTCGCGCTTTCTAGATACCTCACGGATAATCACGCGAGCCGAAATATCGGCCGTGCTGTTGCGAAGTCTCCCGGTTTATCTGGAGTCGCACACGCTCCCAGTTTACTCAAACTTTTTCACCAGGCTAAGGACGCACCATCCGTTGATGGGCCGCATGGCTCTGTAGATAGTGTTATACTAGCGAGTAGTTTCTTCAGCGTTTGACCCGCACTCACTATACAGACGAAGTATAATCACTCGCTGATTAACAGGCACGTTACGCCATTCGGATTGGAGATAAGTCGGTGACGACAGTATATGATTGTGTTCCATCGCCCAGGCAGTGATTCGGTAATTAAATAGCAAAAATTGCACTACTTTGCCTAGTCATAGCCTGAGTGCTCGCTGTCTATCCTATAGCGCATAAGGTTAGCAAACCGCAGAGCAGGCATTGCTAATTCAGTCTAGCGCGTGCAGTTTCCTGCCTAGCGATAGCGAACAATAGGCACCGTCTATCCTGTGACGTGCAAGGTAGGCCAACCGCGCATGTATGCGTTGCAAATTACGCCACAGCTCATGCACTGTGCAATATGAACTGCCAGACTGGCTCAGTACGGGACCACCGTACTCAGCGCCAGGCAGCTGAACTATAGCACAACAAGGAAATGGCTGTCGAATCAAAAGTATCGACCGCTTCAGTTGGCAGTTTGCCTGTCTGATTGCACTCGTAGCCGCGTTCTTTGGATCATGTTGTCGGCCGCGTCTCATCCTCAGAGTCGGTGCAGTTTGGGGTCGAGTCTGCACTTCACATGCGGTTACACCAAAGGGAATAGTGACAAGCGTGACACTGAACACACGTGCAGTTGTATGGACGTTTGCGGTCAAACATAGAGTGTCGATGAGACTATTTGAGTTTAGAGAGAACGCGTCGGGTTTCCTTCAGGGGCGCACTGCTGCGGCACAGAAGGTGCTGCTAGACCCTTCCTTCGGACTAGCTGTACTTATTTCAAGAATCTTTCACATTAGAAAGCATACCATCCAATATGCCGACTGGACTAGTTGTGCCGTGGGGTCAGGAAAGAAGATGCCGTTGAGAGGAAGCAGTAAAGGATAATTTTCAGGGTATACAAACAGAATTTCCAACTGTTCACGGTATTTTAGCTAGTCGTTGATGATGCGAGCACCGAAGTGCAGTGAAATCAACTATCATGAGGTACATCAACGTAAGATTGATACAAACGGTAGCAAATGATGAGAATAAGAACACGTAAAAATATGAACAAAGGTTTGAAGAAAAGAAAGTTGGAAAACGTATAGTTATTAGGCAAGAAATTAGCATAAAGAAGTTGTATAGCGACTCCAAAACCCTAGGCCTAATGACTGTGCTAAACCCAAGTTGAAAGCAAAAGCGTTTTGTGGAGCCGCATCATCATCGATTGTGGTTTAACTTTCTTAGGAAATGCCAATTTACATGTCTTTAACTAGGATACTTAAACTAACTCAGCCGATTATCCAAAAAAGCAGAGTTTATGAGTTATACATTAGATACCAAAAAATCAGACATTTTCGTAGCGTCAACGAACGTATAACATAGCGTCATGATCAAATAACTGGATACCCGATGGTTCAAGTGTAGCGAGATGCGCATTAGAAACCGCCGAATAAGGAACGCCTTGTGGAAGTTATTATTATGACGTTTCAAAGTTTAAGTGGAAAAGCGTCGCACCTACGCTCAGACAGGCAGCCATCACTAGATGATCGTCCTATACATCGTCAGTAGTGCGCATTCAATCTGGCATCCGATGAGCTTTAACCCACAGTACTAATGTTACCAACTCGCTATTAAGGCCAATGGGATACATATGACGACATCGACCTGTAACAGTAGGTCCACAGACGTCAGAATGAAAGTACTCTGTCGACGATTCCAGAAAAGATAAAACGACCGCACAGCGCTGATGCGGAATGTGGTGATTGATTGAGTCTAGTTGTGAATTTCAAGCTATACCATTTAAATCACGCTATTAATCTCTTGCTCCGAAATCAATTGCTGATTCAGCTATTAGATAGAAAAATAAGGAAACCAACATCAGTACGCCGATGTGTTGACCGATCCATAGTTTGCTAAGTACTTTCATGGAAATGTGTTCCCATGAAATAAGTGAACATTTTACGTGCAATGTACTCGAACATCACAGACCGCGTCAGGGTCTACGGTGACCTGTCGGAGAAGTTTCCGACAAGTGGCGTTCGTCAGGGCTGTCCAATTTTCCCATGTTTGTCCAACTTCGTTGTGGACTGCATCACGCAGTGTTCTCATGATGCAAACGTTGAGGTGTTTCCCGGTGGAAAGCTAGATGATCATGATTATGCGGAGGATATTGTCTCGCTGTTTAACGGTGTTAAGGTGGCCCAGTCAATCCTGAATAACTTCTCTTGAATGGCCCCATCGTTTTACATGCGCTTCGCACGTTCAAAGTGAAGTATTATTGTAGGAGCACCAGTCCCTTTATGAACTGTTGACCCTGGAGATCGATGGACTCGAGGCAGTTAATCAGTGTACTTACTATGGTAGCTGAATCGGCAACAATGGGAGCATAACTATGGAGTCAGTTCACTTATCGTAAAAGCGAGAACTGACTTATGGAATCGGCGACATCTGTGGCGTCAGAATAATGAATACTGGTTAGGAGTAGCAAGTAGAGATATCTCAATAGCTGCATTAAAAAGCACTCAGGTAGAAATACCTGTAATTTTGTAGAGCGTACGGGATATTTCCTAGAAGCAGTGTTTATTCAGGAATTACTTGAATTCCGACACCCCTTTGCTCCAACTACGTGCTGTGGTAGGCTGTTCCATATATTCACTACTCTCCGTTCGAAACAGTTGGTGGGCAACCCGCACCAAACCAGGTACTACAAGCTTGTACCAGTGTTCTCGCGTGCTGCTTGGTGTGCGCAAATGCAGCAGCGGCCTTAACATGGGGTAATCACCGAGATGTAGTATCCTATGCGTCAAGATGAGGTCAAGCCGCGATTGACGATAAGATAGGGTATAAAGCCTTAGTCTCTTACACTGGTCTTCGAGCGGTACAGCACGTGAAGTGAGGAACAGCCTGGTGGCTATATGCTGTACCCGCTTAATCCTTCCTATCTTACCCCGGGTGACAGGGGATTTCCCTCGGTCTGAAAGCCCACGTTTACAAGGCCACAATGAGGGTTGTCCTACTCTATGGTAATGAGAATTGGCCACTTCAGTCTGTGGTGCATTCAAGTAATTGATCACCGGTGCTTGTGCAACACTGCTGGTGTCGAGTGGCAGAAAGCATGTCCGCTAGGGTGATATGCATAGGCGAGTATTAAGCAATGATAATCAAGCTAGTACCCTAGAACAACAAACAGCAGTGAATAAATTGCGTTGGCCTGTGCACGTACTTCCTACGCCCCGTCATTAGTTACCAAAGAGGGCATCGTTTTGTTTGCCAGATGTGAACTGGCGCCAAACCCGAAATGAGCAAAAATAACTTGGCATAAGGAAATGAAGTCACTGACGACCCAACTCGGTGCCGTTGATCCGTCTCGCCTAGAGTCCACGTGACCCGCGCTGTGCTTAGATCGGGACTTTACAGGCTATGGCTCGCATTCGGCACAAATGGTGTGTCTGTTGTCGTCAAGTAGGATCGTCTATTTAAAGGGTGTTTGGTGCTGAGTTATCTAAAGGGTAATGATTGTTTGTGATGCGCGGCAGTAAAAGCCGCATGGAAGCTGTCTCGCCGATGCCGCCTTATCTTTGCACAGTAGTCGGCCATTCTAACGGCAAGTTCTTAACAAGGTGTAGGTCCTTCACCCTGAATGTTTCCATACGGTATAAGCATTTTACGCTAGTTCTCCCTTTTCTCCCTCTGATTATTCTTCGTTTCGTAGGTCACCGTGGTTGTATGACATCAAAGCATCAGTCCAAATGGTTAATGTACAGCTGTTCATGATGATGAGATTTATCATCGCAAAAGAGCCAGCTGTTTGTGACTGTGTTGTTGATAAGCAGTTGGGGCTATGACACTGAATGCTTGCTTAGTAGTTAGGTTTTACACTAGGTCCCTTTTTCTCATCCCCTTATTACTCTCCATTGCAAGGATTGTCAAGAAAATAATACATCAGCAAGTGATTAGCATGACATTCTCCACTCCCACGTGCGATTGCAACCTGCAAACGATACAAGTTGCTTCGATGATCCACCAAGCATTAGACTAATTAGACGGCAGGTCAGATAATTCTTTCTTCTAAGGTGGAGTGTAAAGGAGTTGTCGACAAATTCATAAAAATACGTCACCTCCTCGTTATAGCAGTCACGAGCTAATCTTTCAACAGACAGATAGAGTGCACAATGCTGACGAAAAACAAAAACGCTATCCAATGTTTCTACAGATGTGTGACGGCAGTCCAATTGAGTGCAGCTAAGATCAGTCCCCTCCGGCATGGGGTATGATGTATCGGTCATGTATTTCGAGATACGCTTGAGATCATATATAAATACAGGTGTAAAGTAACTTCGATTGCATCATCCTTACTTTCGTACCATCTGTCAGTTCTGGAGTTCCGCGTGCTTTAACTGCTGCTGCAAAACCAATCATAGCTGAAAGACCAGCTGTGCCCAAAACAAAACCAAACTTGAACAAGTGCGTGCTGTGGAGTGAATGGGGAGAGTCCAATAAGTGATCACTGGATGAATCAATCTTGCAGTGCAATTCCGGCTCCATAATTGCGAATGAGCATCAGCAGCTGAAGAAAAGGGGAGAAATATAATGATGATAACATGAATCCGCTTAGCCAAGAACAGGGTAGATGTAGTACGTGGCTGTGACATAACTGATAATGGACACTGACTCCGAGATGCCACACTAGATGCATTCGTGCCCTGCATGAACAGATGCAGTGAGTTATTTAGCCGAGGCGGCGTTTGTGATCAGTGAGTGTGTAAGGAGTATGGGGTGCCCACTACTGGTTTTTCACCAATACTGAAATAAAATTGTCTGTGGCGAACATAATTACGCAAAATAAAATCCATTGTTAGACTTAACAGCTTTTAAATCAAAAAGTATTCGGAAACAGATTTATGATCAGTGAAAAAATGGATATGCAACAGTAGAAAATAGCTCTCGTGGAAACAAAATAAAAAAACTTTTTATTCTCGGCTCACCTTTACAGGCATGATCATGTTGTGATAACCAAGTGTGAACAGTGCACAAGAATACAACATGCTTGTCATAACGGGGAACGTGTGCATGGATGTGTAACTGTGCATAAGTGTAGCTTTGTAGCTTGTGTTTGTATGTGTGCCGTTGTATTTGTCACTGTTTGACAGCGCCAGCTATGTAAGAAGAGACGACTGATGTCCGCGGATTGGACGTAATTATCCAGATATGCGCGGATAAAAGCTAATTATTTCATTGTAATTTCATGTGATGAAACCAACGTAAGCTTCTGGAACGGTTGGCGGTCCCTAACCAAGGTGTATACACGTTCGGATTAAACGATTCTGATTATGTGAGCTCTCAAAGGCTCTGGGGACGTCTAACAACCCACGTCTCAATGGCGTTGCATCAGTACCAATTAAGTAGCAGATAAAGCAGCTGTACACTAGAAAAGTGTACCGACGCCTCGATGTTACGCGAACACAAGCAGTCGCGTGAAAACTGCGGATGTTGCGAGGTTGCCGGGCTAGCATAGGTTCGAATAGGTGACTTGCGTATAAAGGGTCCGACGTTTAAACCGCTTCGCCAACGGCCATCAGCTGATGGACTGTCTAAGTTGAGTTGAACCAAATGTTATGAGTTGTTCAGTCGCAAAACTATTTATCTTTTCATTCTTGCACCGATAATGTAGAATCTTGCCGAAAAACAACCGACCGTCTACGAAATGTGCAGTAACGCTGCCGCCCCTATCCTCTGCCTGGTGGCCCAAATCCAGATGGAAAAAGCATAAATCAAAACTCAACTGACTGGGTGTATAGTCAGGAACGAAAACGGCTATAATCATAAGTCAACATGTTTCTCACATGGTTTCAATCTATCAATCAGCTGTGCTTTGACTGTTTGCATGTCACCTGCTTGTATCATGGTTGGCCATCACTTGTAACATATATGACCGTCTGCGCACGGGGCCAAGTTTACGCCTGCCACATCATCGCAGTACGTTGTAGATGACAACTTGCTGGCCTGACCAGACGCAGGACCGCCCGCGCCATTGATATCGTTAGCGCCTCGCGTGACTATTCACAGGTCCTCCCACAATCGCGATCAACTGTCGCGTCTTAAGGTTGTGCGTAGGTGCTTGTTTGGTGCAATCGCCGATCAAGTATCGGGCAAATCTGGAACTTATACATCATTTCCAAAACGTTAAGATAGACAGTAGCGTTAACTCTAGGGCTTGCTGGCAAACAAAGAAACCATGATGGCTGTGCGAAATGTTAGCTTCATAGCCGTTGTAATTTCAAGAACCCTCACACAGCCGTCTGATTCCGAGCAAAGCTCTTACCGTCTGAGGAAAATCAAATTATAGCCTCTGGGAGATTGTGGTTGGTGGGTCAGGTGAGTCCTGCGATATCTATGTTCCGCGTCTGCACAGATTTGAGTGCCGCTGCGGTATTCCAGCAGAATACAACTAATTACGGCATCAAATCAGGAAAGCGTTAGTACAAGACACTGCCGAATTATTGACGTATTCTATTTTTTCCTTCGGATTTAAAAGTTGATACTGTTATTCAAATTCGATTAAGCGAGTTGCTCGAGCTTCTAAATTACCTCCCTTCGTGTACAGAATTAACGAAGTCTTTCAGAGATGTAGAAAATTTTGCAAGCATTCTTATAGACTTCCTCGAGCTAACAGCAATGATTACTTGAAGTACGAGATGCGGAAATTCACTTGTCGTGTCAGATTGCACAGGATAGCTTATGCTTTGTCACTGGTGACACATTTTTACATGTGACCTCCAACTCCTAACGAACGTTGAGGATGGAAGGTCTTGCGAATCCGAAAACGTAATCTATTTTCAATTCGACACTTTTATCCTTTAAATCCTTGACTACAGTAAACGTTTTTCATATCTTGGATTAGCTTTATCCCATTATCATCATGTCACTATAAAACAGAACCACCCGTAGCCTTAAGGATCACAAGCCTGTCATGTAATCCGAGGGCACGGGTTCGAGTCTGCTTACGCACCGGGCAACCCTCGCAGCATCCTTAGCCCACGCGCGATTGGCGATGGTTACGTACTGTTGATGCCCTATAAAGACAGTAATATGCAGAGCAATAAACTTCAAGGGAAGAGTGACGTATGTGCTGCGCATACAGCGGAACAGCTAAAACTGGCGCCCTGTATACAGGCTAACACTATCGTTTGTAACAGTTATGGCTAAGTGGCGTCCATATGCAGTTAAGTGAATCATCTTGCGATGCGAGTAGCATAACAATCATACGATGCACCTAACTTGCTGAGCATGACGAAGTGAGGACAAGCAACAGGACGACGTTTTATAAGCACGTCGAACGGTGAAGGAGCACAGGTATTGCTTCTCTAACCGCACTGATGGCCACAGCTAATATATTCGTCCGCCATTGTTAGGTTATAGCTTACGCCAACGGGATCAGCTCAGTGTACATTTCTCTAACGTGCGCCAGAGTGCCATTTTTCTCCCCAATTTTATCACGGGAGTGCAGCCATGTGCTGGGTGGGCAGTTTGTGGGAGTTCGAGCTTTGTAATTCGATCAGAACGAAAAAAATGAAAACAGTAACTACGTTATATAATGGGCCTAGGTATTACAGTGTTAAACAATATTGTAAACGCACCTGACCTGTCATGACAACCAGCATAGAATGTGTGATTGAAAAGGTCCGCTGGAGTGGCATTGGAGTACCGAAGTGACCGCTACTTGTGTCTCAGGGAGACATTTGAACGAACTTCGGTCAAGCAGCAGACATTTTTCAAACGTAGCCTTATCGTATGCTGTAAATGCTTTTTTCTTGGTTACAAATATCGTTCACAGTCAGCGGACATCGTTTCCCAAATAGGAATAACGCAGTAATGAAGGTACCACATAAATTTTTTCGAGTGATCGAAATTCGTCCCAAACGCTTCTCACTGGGACGGCCAGGGAGACAATAAAAGCGCACCCTGGGGCAGCTTATCAGTCAGTCCCGTTGACTGAAAGTACGATACGGTCAAAAATTAAAACTTATGGATAAAGAGCAGTTGTCTTAATGGTGCCTTATAATATTTGATGGCATATACAAATTTCGAAATTTCTATTATTATTTTCTCTTTGAGAGTGACGAAAAACAAGCCCAAATGGGATAGCTGGCCGTCTAACTGTGCAGACAAGGTGGATGTACGCGTATCAGCGCAAATGACTGAGAGACTGCCGCTGAGTGGCCCTTGACTGTCCAGGTAACATACGTTGGTCACAAATCAACCTATTAAGAAAACTTTGAATGTAGCGGTACGTCATCAGTAAAGCGTTAGAAAGCCATGGGAATCAAGCTCCAATGAGTGTGGACGGCAACTATAAGCAGAAAAAATATAATCACAACAAAGCTGTGCTGGAAACGCTTTACCTAAGGATCGCTATGTGACAGACATGGATCAAAATAGGATTGCCAGGAACATAAAATTGGTTTCTCAGAGCGCTCCAACGTACACCAATTCCCCAAGTTAAAATCCAAGTGGGACTACGACGCAAGGATTATTCGGTGAATGTTTCTTCCTCAGCAGTCGTTGAACCAGGACTTGACAAAAGGTCCTTGACATGCGGATGGATCTAAAGGGAAAAGCGCGTCAAACCCTAGATGGGTAACAGGAGGCCGTCCGTAGCAGCCTACGAAGCTAGCTCTCTGTCTGAAACACCTCGGAAAAGATTGGTCGTATGTCACCTGTAGCCGATTGGCTAACCAATGAGAGTAAGCCAATGGCATCGTTTTACCTTGAAGTGGACTAATCAGAATGACCTGCCTTGTAACCTACCTGAACAGCCAACAAGCGAGTTCTTGCGCATCGAGTAGTTGCTATAGTCAGGAACATTCAATGAGATCCTTTCTCTCATGGATTATTTATTCTGACCCCATATTTTGGCTGTGCATTCTGTCTTCCGGGTGCTTCATACAAATTCCGCCAGAGGCCTTTGTCTTCTGATTTTTGGAAGTGGCTGTGTCGTGACCCGGGTGGATGTATCGGTTATGCGTACTGTCAGCGGAAACCTAACAAGATAACCAATTAGTGCGCACGTGTCCTGCACTGATATTTCCTGCTAGGTCGGTTACGTGAAATAAAAAAGGGGGACAGTAAATTCAGAAGGCAAGAAGAGGAACGTAACTAAATAATGATGATACCGGTGTATGTGGGGAATTGCAAGAAAATTGAAAGCTGCAGATGAGTAGTGTAGTAGAAAGGTTAAGTGTTGCAACCCAAGAGCATCGAGCGAGTTCCAGCGCGACAAACAAGTTCCCACCCCCCGCAATCCCATCACAGCGCGGTTTGTGCAGTTTTAGTGGGTGACCACAGAGACTAAGTAACTTAGGGGCTAAGTAGCCAAGACAAGTCCGGGCCGACCTTGCCCGTCAAAATGCAGTATGTGAAGATTAGGTCCCACCTAATCTTTCGATAGTGCATTGAGTAAATCCACAAACTATGCAAACCTTCGGCATACGCATGTCAGCTACCTTCTGCACTAACCTAGTACCTGCTCCTAAAACCCTCTCTAAGCTCATTTGCCTCGGACAAGACA